GATGCACAGGCTCAGCAGCCATGGCTCACGGGCCCAGCCGCTCCGCGGCATGTGGGATCCTCCTGGACCAGGACACAAACCCGTGTGCCCCGCATCGGCAGGCGGACCCTCAACCACTGCGCCACCAGGGAAGCCCCCAAGGCAGGTACTCTTAAACTCGTTTTTACAAATGAGAAATTTGAGACAGCTCAAGTAACTTTCCCAAAATTGCACAGTTCATAAGTGGCAGAATTGTGCTTGATACCTGCTTGTTGAACTTAACTGTGTCCTACTGACTAAAAAGCCAAACATATAAAACCAGCCAATTAATGGTGAACATTTCCATTATCATTAGGGGAGAATGTCCTTTCTCCACTCCAAGTTTCCATGAGGAGGATTGTTTCCTGGCTTCTGAGGCTTAACCATTTCACCTCTGATGATGGAAAGTAAATTTGGGCAGAGTAACTGAGCATACTGGGCCTAGTTCTGCCACCTTTGCCCTCTTGGAAGGTGCAGCCCACAGGGAAAAACAAGTTTCTGCTGCTCTCCCTGCTGTCTGCCCGCTCCCAGTCCAGAGCTGCTTGGAACTGGATGGGGACAGCTCTTAATTCTGAAATTCAGTAGTAGCTCAGCACACCTGGCTCCCAGACCTAAAGTCACTCCTGGGGGCCTGTCTCACTCTTTGTTTTCTTCCTCAGCTTTTCAGAAGTAAGGAAGAGGTGATGAGCTATTTCCTGAGCTCTCTTAGAGACCTCTCCCTGCACTCCAGTATCATCAAAGGGTGACTATAGGTGTTTTAACTTGAAACAATCTACAGAGGAAAGGCCAGTTAGAAAAGCCAGAGCATGGAGTGATGAGAAAGGAGAGGGGGAAGCAGAAACCAGAAACTTCCTGCTAACAGTCAACTGAAGATCATTCAAAATTAAGAAGGTGCTTGGCAAACTGAAATGTAAGTGAATGACAGCAATTTACAAGTTACTGGACCTGCACAACTCTTTAAAGCACTTCTACTATGTGAAATGAAGCCTATCGCTACCCGTAGGTATGCTAAAACCCTTTAGATGATGGGGTCTGGACCTTGTAGGGCACCTCCACTGGTCCAGAGGAAAGGGGAACTGCCCTTTTAGGGTCATTCTTGGACTTTCCTAGGTTTCCACAAGCAGGCTGAAAATTCCAAAAAGGATGCTCAATATGTCTCCATGAATTCTTATTTATCCAACAACATGTTCACCATCTCTATCTAGCTGTTTCACAGGCATTTCAAACAAAGCATGGGACAAAGAGTTCTCTTGATTTTCTTCCAAAAAGCTGTTCCTTCTCCAGGCTTCCATCTCAGTAGATGGAAGCAGCAACCCCCTTTAGATTCCTCTCATTTTCTCCTACTCCATATCCAATCCACTTGCCAAGTTCTGTTGTCTCTACCTCTAAAGCAGATCCTGAATCTGTTCCCCTCTATCTCCACTATTACCACCTTGTCCAAACTAGGTGTCATTTCTTACTTGCACTGTTAAAGCGACGCCCATTTGGCCTCCCTGCTTGCACTCTTGCCAATCTATAATCTAACCAGCATCCAGGGAGAGCTTTCAAAATTAATATAAGTCATTTCATCCCCCTGCTTAATATTACCTTAATGGCTTCTAAATGCCCTTATAAGTAAGTCCAATTAATGCCCTTAGAATAAAGTCCAAGTCTGAATTAAAGTTCGATGTGATCTAGCCCCTGCCTGCTGTGTGACTTCATCTCTTGGCTTTCTCTACCTCATGTGTCAGCCCAACCAAGCTTTCTTCTACCTCAGGACCTTTGTAGTTGCTGTTTCTCTTCTTAAGAGTACTCTTCTTTCAGATCTTCTTTGGGTCATTCAGGGTAAATATCACCTCCTCAAAAGAGAACTTCCTGCCCATCCACCTAAAGTAGATT